GAGAAGAAGAAGGGAAGACCTGATTGAGGCATTCAAACTCCTAAAGGGTTTGGATGACATCGAGGAAGAAGGGAAACCGCTACTACCTCCCAGCGAGAACCCAATGTTAAGGGATAATGACTTTAAGTTAGCTAAGAACAAAGTTTCCACCCGCATAAGGCAGTAATCGTTTGCCATAAGGGTGGCGAACGACTGGAACAGACTACCTAATGAAATAGTCAGTTCGAGTTCGGTCGGGGTTATAACTTGGTTGATGCCGGTGTCAGGGTCTGTTGCCCTGATCCATTAGGCGTTACCGGAATGTGGCGCGACAGTGGGAGGTCAACACCCAACTCTCCTGAAGTTTTTGATTGTAAAATTGAAGAGGAGTCATCACCCTCTTCCATCTGTCGGGGGATCGTTGGGGCCCACCGCTGCAAGAAACTGGACTAACTGGTACACCACCGTCAACGTCCTGGAACTGAACTGATCAGTCTCTCAGAGCTAGGGACAAAATGGACGAAACGTACATCACTGATGTACTGCGCCACATGGGCATACAAACTGCAAACCGAACTGAACTGAACTGAACTAGACGCCAGTCGTATGAACTGACCTGATCTGACTTTATATGTAGAGACGCAGAGGTCTTTATACCTATTTACGAGGCAGTAGTTCGCCTTCACTTAGAATACTGTGTTCAAGCATGGGCAGCATACCATAGAATGGATGTAGCATGCCTGGAGAAGTGGCAACGATTTGCTACCCGAATGGTAGCTGGGCAAAGAGGAAAAGCTATGAACAGCGATTGAGAGACCTGATTCTCTTTTCGCTGGAACGTAGATGACTGCAAAAAGACCTGATAGAGACCTTTAAAATAGTCAGAGGGCTATCAAAACTCCACACAGATGACTCGTTTACGGCTTCTCGTGCACAAAACACGAGGGGTCAATAGCTTTAATCTCCGNAACTTCAAGGCGGCACTGCATGCGTGTTGGCCGTAATTGTTCCCTGAGGTACGGTGGTAATGTATCGTCATTGACAGCCAGGTAAATTGCAGCCCCCGAGCTAAAGAATGGGGCCTTTTAAAATTGCACTTGAAACTGGTATGTTTCAGAAAACCAAGGCGTCACATCGAATCGGTGAGAAGACATCTCTTCCATTTTCTCTTTTCCAGCTAGTCTGAGAGAACCTGGCTAAAAAAACGCAGACAACGTAGTGTTGGGAGTCAAGAACACCTGCTGAAAACACAATAATCTGGAGTCTCGATTAGGATGAACCATTTTTTATCCATTGAAGACTGGACTGGATTGAACAGGGCCTGTACCCCTAAATTCATGAAGTGGTCTTGGGATAATTAAAATAAAATACGAGGTACAGTATATGTTAAAATTTATGAACTGTAAATTTTCCCTAAAATTCGGGAGTAAAACGTACGAAAACTACGGTGGACGGCTACGGAATTTGAGTCACCTTGTTTTAATTTTTGAATGGTATCGTTTTCTGGATTCAAATTTTACGGAACGGGTCCCAATTTCAAATAGTGAGTTAACGCGGCAATTCAAGTTGTTCCTCGTTGTGCTGAGTGACGTATTTTGTGTCTCAGTCCTCATACAGCGATTCAGCGGTTGCTTCATTCTATGATGTTGATATCGTTGAATGTGCTTTCCGCTTTAGATGAATTTCGAGCATGGTGTCGTTTCCGGTCTTTTGAAATAATTTTCGACCAGCATGTCGCAGCCGCCGGTGAATGTGAAACTAGCTTTACCTCAAAAACCTGCGTTCATCAATCGACCGGGTGTGGTTCAAGTTCTTCAAACTGGACCCTCAATCGGGAGTCAGACAATCATACAGCAGCGATCTCCGTCTTTCAAGTCGTTCACAACCGTACGGCCGTACGTCCCCGCGGCTGGGGTTCCTGTGAATACCAACACAGCTATACAATATGTTAGGAAACAGGAAATGACAGGTTAGTTGCGCAGTGTCATCAAATCCTATTATTTTGTGTTGCATTATCTCTTAGCGTAGATGCCGGAAGGTTTTGCATGGGCTTTTTCGCTGTGATATTCCGTTGGTTGCCGTTCGCCTCGTTTTGTCACCTTGATTGTGCAGTGTAAAGGTATCTGATTTACGGTTATTTGTTAGACCGCCAACTTTGTTTGCCGAATACACCACCGTTAGTAATTGTAATTGCACTGAAGTAGTCAAAGTAACGGTGGCAGCAAGGCGAGAAGAGTAACACGTTTCATAGTGGTCCTTGTCGAATGCACATATAGGGTATTGTTACGAACGTCATCGACCTGGGAAAACGGAGAAGGTATAGAGCCCTCAGTGCATCTTGCGGCGAAATCAGATCAGGTCAGGTTCCAGGATGTGCGGCTTGAGGCAGATGCCATCCAGTTGCGCTGTTGAGCTGCGATGTTTTTCTCAAGGTGTTTTAACAGCTTGTTGTTTGTCGTTCTTTCTGCGAACTGGCAAAGGTAGCAACCCAGATACGGACCAGTGCAGGTTCATGCCTTTTATCCACTGCACACGTACTCAGGTTGAACGTCCGCTAATGAACGGTCACATTTGAGCTACAACTGAGCTGCGGCACCAAAATTGAAGCGCATTTGTAGTCCATTAGTTGGCTAATAGCCGGCTACAATGAGCTACGTTACAGAACCTTCCGTTTCTGGCATTCCGCATTGTCCCATCTCTAATACCCTGTTAACCCTATATTTTTACATGGATTTATTATCGCACCGTAGACCACGGCACTTTCGACTCACTGATTAGAACGCACTCAATCGCGGAATTGAAACCGAAAATAAGCGAAGGGGAACCACATTAGCTTTTAGGTTCGCCGTGGTATTAAACTGGGTGACTGCAAAGTTGCCTGCCACCAAATTTGGTTGGTGGTGGCGGAGTTCGAATCTCGGACCATGATCCAAAGCACGCCGATGGTAGAACCCACTGCATCACCACTTCTGAGTTACGAACGCACCCACACCATTCTACTTGGGCCTGATTACGTAAGCATCGATTTTCGGAAACTGGTTACCAATGGATAGGCGCCCGCGGATTCAATTAATTACAAATCAGAAGTAACCAAACGTTGATGCTGCACACGCAACATTCAGCATCAGTGAAACGTCTGGTTATGCTGCTCGAGCTTCGGGAGTGCGTGTTTGTCTCTTATTGTATCGACGCCAATAGTTACGCAACTTCGTTGGCTGTGAAACATCAGCACTCACGTGGCAAGATTTGTTTGGTACTCTTTTACCCGACTGCACATTACCTGATGTCAGTGCCGGTGTTTCCCTAGGGACAAGGGAGGAGCCGGATCTGCTCCACTCGGTCGGGTTGTCGTTAAGAAAACTTGATGGCTAAGGTATTTCCCGTGGAAAGGTCGAGTTTCAGCGATTTACTTGACTGACCCGCTTGGCAGATACGACAAAAAGCTACTGACGACCCCGGGACCTTTTGTGGAAAGATGGGATAAATAGGTACACAATATGGGCGGTTATCTGGAGTTAGAGACAACCTCCACTTGCTGAAAACGTTCAAAAACTAGGGTACCAGAGGAGAAATTAAAGGAACAAACGCTCTCAAGTGCCTCATCCATGTGGAATCAAAACGTTCCATTACTGATGGACTGTTCCGGAGATTTACCCTATCAAGAGGGAATTCTAGATCAACTTTGAAGAATAGCGTTGAGATTTCTATTTGTTGACTAGTTTCACGGGTTTTATCTCGGGTCGAAGTTAGATCGTTTGCTGCCGCACCCGATCAGAATGCTAGAAAAGGTATGTATATACATTTAAATTGTGTACTCTGTGTTGACCATAGAGGTTCACTTTACTTTCCTCCCTCCAGTTAGTCCCAATCCCTCTCCATCTTGTGCTTTATCACTTAATTTATGTACGCCGTGAGCTTGGCAGCAATCAGTGAAGTTTGGTAGAGGTCAGGCGAAGTCCAGTCTCCGGGCCCTACAGGTTGGGGGTTCGACTAGAATTTGCTTTTCAGTAGTTAAATAGTGGTGGAAGAGTGAAGTTAATAAGCCTACACTTCGCCTTACCCGCTGCCTTGACTAAGTTCTTGTCAAAACTAAAGGTTTTGGTTGACAACCCTAATTGTTCTACTTAGTGGCTGGACACCCTAGCAGTACCCGTCCATCAAACCCCATTGCATATGCATTGCGAGTTTGGCAGCGATTAGTGAAGTTCGCTTCTCTGTATTTCGCTGTACGATAATGATGATGATGCACCCGCGAACGAAGCTGAAGGTAGTTTTGTGATTTATTCAAGCACCATATGAATGAAATAAACCCATTGTCTCTAGAATTTTGCTCTTCGTTCTTTATTCTTCAGTGATAAATTCGGCTGGTGGATTTGTCGCCTCTCCGCTGGCCCAGTCCTTCACTCCCTATGGAAGTCCATTAATGACTCTGAATCCGAATGTCATTCAACCACTGTCGGGACATGGAGTGCCTCCAGGCTCAGTCACTGGATTAGGGACTTCTGGTCCAATATTGTCAAGTTTGGCGAACTCTCGAAAGCCCTGCAACTGTACTAAGTCGCATTGTTTGAAGCTTTATTGCGAATGTTTTGCTCAGGGTCAGCTCTGTCAGAATTGCAACTGCAACAATTGTATGAATAACCTGGCCTATGAGGAAGAAAGGGGCCGGGCTATTAAAATGACATTGGAACGGAACCCCACAGCCTTTCATCCCAAAATTGGCCGAGGCGAGGGTGAGCGCAAACATACCAAGGGGTGCAACTGCAAACGTTCCGGTTGTTTGAAAAATTACTGTGAGTGTTACGAGGCGAAGATTAGTTGTTCCGATCTCTGTCGATGTCAAGGTTGCCGAAACACGGAAGACAGTGTTGAAAGACGATCCCTGATGCGTTTGGCAGCAATGGGTTCTTTACGATCGCGACAGCCGGCTTCCTTCAAAAAACATCTCGTAAAACCTCCCTCTGAAACGTGAGTGTTTGTGTTCTATGTGACATTTCCATTGTTTCCAATTGCCAACAATATGCTGTCTTAATATAGGTTTATGATGCTTAAGGCTAACTGCATTTATGCTCAAAGATTCTCGTTGAGGATATTTCCTTTGGTATTATGGAATTAGAATATCCACATTCAGTACTGGGCATCAAGCTGTGCGCACTACTATCTCACCTGTCCCCCAGCCGCCAATTCTGTCATCGAATTCGGAACCGATGTATTCTGCGTCTCCGCGTACGTGGTCCAACCAATTTTTCAGCCGTGTCACGGCGACAGCGCTATCACGAGCAAAACGATGCTAGGGCGGCCCAAGTCAGGTCATAGCCACGTTGGCGCACAAAACCTTACAGAAGTTTCATTGTGTGCGAGCATATGAAGCCTTACATCAAAACAGTGTCCAACTCGTTATTTTTAAACGCAGTATATATATATATACAAATAGGCAACCAAAAGACGACAATCGAAATAGGCACACGAAAATACAGTGGTTAATGGTAGTAAAAACCGAACTAAGATTTTGTCGACAGTAATGCAATGCATCACCCTATAATGACGTTCATCGGGGTTGCTTTTACAGACGGAAAATCGGCAGTTGTTATTTCAAGTGTTTTCTGATTGGGAAGCTTCGTTCTTTTCAGTTTTTACAACCATTAACCATGCACTTTCGTGCACCGGTTTTGGTTGCTGTTTTTTGATGCCCCATATGGATAAAAGAGCAGAATGATAAAGCTTCGCTCCACATTTGTTCAAATCTATATTTTGTTTTCAGATTACCTCACGTGTTCTTCACCTGGGAAGTGATCGAGGCTACTGTAGGTTGCCTCCTTGCACAAGCGGAGGAAGCTGAGCGTCGCGATCTGCCTCCTGCCGCCCAAGAACGAATAATATTAGAGGAGTTTGGTCGCATCCTGGAGCATGTCATCGACTCTGCAAGCAAGGTTTGTTTTTTCTCAAATGTCCAAATTTCACTATTTTCCTGTCCACTTTTTACAGTTCCATAAATGATTCCTTTGCATTCTCAATTTTTGATCAAGTTAGTTACTCTTTACAAGCGTTTCCCGATCAAGACCATTGGTCTTGCTCGCTTTCCAGGTTGAGGAATAAAAGACCAACTGTTTGACTGGCGACAGTGAAGTGCATAACAGCGAACCAACGGTAGTCATTCGTCGTTTATTATCAGGCTCTAATGCTTCAAGGAGGGTGTGTACACATCGTGTACTCTGTTAATCATAGAGAGTTACTTCCTTTTCCACCCCTCAGAACAGTTTCACTCTTTCACCATACTCGTTGGTATTTGTATCGAGTTTGGTAGCGATCATTGAAGTTCGCTTTATTGTATTACAATACACGGCAATACTAATAATGCCAGTTAGTTACTAATCACTTATGAATCGCATCTTACTGTTACTACCGACTACTGAGTATGTTGACCACGACACAACTGGTAACAGGTGAATAAAGTTGTTTGGATCCTGCCTCTATGGATTCGAAAATTACATTGCTCCTTGTGACCTCTTTATTTTCGTCATACAACCGATTCTCCCTCTGTTGCGTTTTGTTTCACCTAACATTCGTTAACTTAGATCATTTCCTTTTATAGGCTCAACTTCGTTCTTCCAGCAGCATGCAAGGTGGTGACAGTGAGAATGAACATTCGCTTCTACACGCCCCGCCAAGTCAAGTTCCAGTTAATTTAGCACCTCGAAGTGCTGCTGCGGTGGGTTCAGCCACTGCCGCGGCGGCGGCAGCTGATGTTCTTTTACGAGACGATGATGACGACGACGATGAAATGATGCGTGAGATGGGTGTAGATGACGATGATGACGATCCTGGTGACCTGGATGATGACCTGTATGATGACGATGACGTTGCAGGTCCTACCTCTGCTCATCAGTTGCATTCACAGAGACACACGCGGCAATCACTGTCCCAGCGAGTCCCCACATCTCACCGGTCTGGCCATGGACATACCGATCTTTTGGATGATGACATGCTAAGTGAAGATGATGGCATGTCCGGCGGTCGAAACTTAGCTGGTTTGATGTCTCACAAATATCGGCAAGCCATGGGATCAAGGAGCAGATCTTCGCATTCGATGGAGGCGCGTTACCGGCCGCATCATTCAAGACGTAGCACGTCTGGTGGACGCGGTCACGAGCATCATGATCCTGACTCAATGATATAAATTCGAAAAAATCCTTTCTCCCCTGTAAAGTTTTCCTTCATGTACACAAGTGTTGCTTTTGCCTTACTTGGAGTGTAGTGCCTCTTTGATGCGCCACACATCTTTTTATGCAGCTCATCAGGTCACTTTCCATTGTAACTTGATATGAAATATAGTGACTTGTCACTTAACGTCATCTTTGTTGTTTTCGTTGTTACAGTGGTTGCAATAAGTTGAGGGACATCGCCACAGTTAGTCTTTAATTTATGACTGGTACTAGTTGATTCAGTTGTGAACCTTCTGCTTTGCGTTTGATAAGTTGTTCGTCTCGTGCTTGACCTAAAATATAGGACCAACGAAATAGACGCTTTTGCTGAAACTCTATGAGTAGTTCAGACTGGGTCTAACATCGTTAGTTATCTTTTTAGTAGGTCGCTACATGCTTATTTGTTGCACCGAATATCTTTGCGGTCTCCAGCCTTTTCCACTTGAGTCTGTACCTATCTTAGTCGCGTCTGGCTGTCAAAGCGGCAGTGTCCCCATTGCTATTTCGGTAACCCTCAACGCTGCTTTAGCCAGCGTGTGGTCGCCGATGCATGCTCCAATTTATTTAGGACGCACATAAAGCC